GCGACAGTAAAAGTAGGGTTGTTTGATTGGTCCATTTCAGAATAATATATATGATATGTTTTATAATGATTGATCATGAAAGTGTTCTCAAAGCTGGTAAAGGTGCAGCTAGTTCGAATGACTTTGTATACTACAGGGTAGCTTGTGGATTTACTCCAGGTCGAACTAAAGTCTGATTTAACACTTGATTAGATTTCATATCATTCATCCACATCTGTAAAGTAACTAAAGGTATTAATACATGTAGTGGAGTCAAAGTACACCATGTACCTCTGAACTGTAGTGGAGAAGAAGAACAAAGTAGCAAAACATTGAAATACTTAAATAAAGTACAAGTATCTCAAAATTGTACCCAAGTATAGTACTTGAGTTTATGAATTTAGTTACTTTACACCAGATGCCATAAAGATAGAAAGACTAAGCCTTGCAGAGGCATGACAATAGATTTTCAAAATGCTCAACAGTGCTGCCAAAATTATAAACTGACTGCTACACAATTAAAATAAATGCTTTTATGTATTTTATTAGATGTGACTCTTTAGCGTTTCTGTTATTATTACCTGCTGCTTTAGTTGTTCTGACTGCTAAAATCCTCTGTTATTCCTCATTTTAAAGCCGATATTCCGTGGGGTCGGGGGGCTCGGGTCCTTGTCACCTTTTACATACCTGATGAGTTTGCATCCCTGATAATACTTAGTAAGGAGACCATAATATTTTTGACTCATGGCTGAAGTTAAGTTTCTCCAGCTCTCCCCAGGTTGGCAAAAAAATGCATCTCAAAATGCATCAGATTGATGCTTTCAAATATGGAATATTCAAAATGTTCTTCCGGGGGAGTATGCCGGACCCCCTAGAGCAGGGGTGCCCAACCTTTTTTGAACCGAGAGCTACTTTTAAAGTTGCCAGTCTGTCGAGATCTACCAGTCCAAATAGAGAGGCGTAGCCTACTACCAGGTAAATACACACTTCTACTTGTATAAAACTGACCTTCGTACGATTAATACTCCATTAAATAATGCAGATCCTTTATCTTACCTCTTTCTAATCTACACACATACAAGTATTTAACTGAAGTTACACAACAGTGTTGTTGATACAGAGTTGGAGTTTATTCACACGTCACTACAGTGGGTAATGTTTTCAAGAAACATTGAACAGTGCTGCCACATATGACACAGGAAAAAAAGAAAAGACTCTGAACCCTTTCTTTGCCATTATATAAAAATAGTGTTGCTACAAAAGTATAAATGAGGCTTACTAATAAGACAACTGAGATCTGAAGCTACAGGAATCTGCTGCAACAGTGCAATAAAAAAGACAAAATTAATAAAAATCAAACAATTTTTTTGTTGCATTTTAGTAGATTATAAAAATAAATGCCTTTTTTAAAAATAGGATGCAAGCAACACTAGTTTCTTAACCTGAATTGATAATAGACTATAATCAATTTAAGTTTGCATTCTTATACCATTTTGTACAATAATTATAATGAATAAGTTCAAACAAACTAAAACGTACAGCTGATTAATAACGGTATCTAACTTGAGTTTTTATCAAAAACCTGACTTTCTTCCTCTCAGCTGCACGGCTGCAGCCACCCAGACACGGGGGATGTTTACACACACACCCGTGGCTGCTGCTGGAGCCGTGCTCACAGAGGCAATGGGGGGAATATCTCTGGCTGCTTATTTTTAACTGCTGTTTTGGCCGCTGAAACCCCCAGAATTCGGCGATTTGTCCAATACAAATCTTTACATTGCTTTCATACAGAAGCTCCACTTTACTGATGTATGTCTTTAAGGTTACTCTGAACATAAGCTGTGCATGCTTGTATGGTAATTTCGTCCCAAGCAGCATGCACAGAGGCAATCAGCCAAATGTTCATTAACCAAAAATGAAACACAACCGCTCAGTTTCACAGGTAATTTTAGGATACCGTCAATCACAGATTCTGGTAAGGCAATGTCCAAATGTGGATTTGAAATTACACTTACAAGTCTCTGAAGATGTATTGGTATCCTGCCGACAACGCCAATTTGTAAGGGAAACTTCTGTAGCAATGGAGAGTCAGGACTCAGAGAGACACGGGACGAGCAGGAGTTCTGATGTCAAACACTGGCGTTTATTACAAGCATCGGCCGGAGAATTCATATCACAAGTCACAGCATCAGAAAGTTCTGACTGCACCGGTGGGTTGCCATGTCAATTCTGAATCCCTTCTCATCTTGGCAGACCTTTAATTAGTTTCACTCAGAGTCAACTCACATATTGGGGGGAAGGTGTACGTCACCACCTGGAGGTACTGAATTACTTATTTGACTTTATGGCTCTTGTGACCGAGAGTTGACCGGTCATAAAACTCATAATGTCAGCAATAGCTAACAGTTCCCATTCCTTAAGACAGATAACAGACTTCGGCTTCGTCGTAAAACGTCAACAGGCCGAAAGGTCAAATATCTTAAGTAAAGACAAAATTAATCCCTCACAGCTAGAACAACACATTGATTCACATTGACAACACACATTAAAGATAATGTTTTTGTCAGGTAACTGTAAAGGAGCAATATAGTGGGAAGTAGAATCAAACGGAAAGTGATGTCTCAAAATTGTAAAGTACAATATGTATTTCTTGTATAGAAATACACTTGCCAAGGGTTATTTGTGAAACAACTTCTTAAACCCAAAGTGAAATGAGCATTGTGGTTCCTCGGAGTAATGCAGTCATTACATAAAAGCCTCCATATGTAGCCTTGAGTTGTTTTGATAACTGCCTTTATTAAAGGGATAGTGGAAATTCGCGAATTTTGGGTTTAACTTATGTATTTTTATTAAAAAGAAGCATATTAAACAATTTTTTTTAATTTCATCCGCCTAGTTTCATTTATTTTCAATTTTACTGCGCCCTCTCAATGAAACGAAATACTTCGGGAATCGTCGGGAATCTTCGGGTGATGACGAGAGCTCAGGAAGACGGGCACAAACAATGGCGGACATTCAATAGCATTTGCATGTGAATAGCCGACCTTTATTATGGTGAATAGATGTGTTTTGTATGGCTGTAGTGCGACAGAAAAATTCTACGTGACACAACGACATTGGATTAACCTTGAGATGCGTTTTTATTCCGTTGAACACAACTTTTGATCACAAATCAAAAAAGGTAAGACGTAATTATTGTAATATTTTTGGAACCGGATGTTGTTTACTTTCTCTTTTCTGGCTGATAGCTCCAGGAATTCGAGGTCTTACAGTGATGACATTACATCTGTGGAGTCTCAGCTTTAAATCGTATATCTTGTTTGTGCAGTTAAGATAGTAATAAGGGCATTTCCACCGTGTGTTGTGTGTAAAAAAGCGTTAGCATTAGTTAGCATTGTTTCGCTCAATGCTAATTCAAAGGCTTGGTATTACTCTTGTGTTTTTTCTAGCTAACAATTGTTCTTATTGTCAGTTAGCGGAGTTTCTTACCTTTTAAAAGGGTATGAAACATTAATAGTTTCATAAATGTTAAGAAGCCCTGAGACATGTGAGAGAAAAAAAACTGTGGGAGGGGTCCACTGGGGGGACCTTCGGGCTTAACTGGTTAACAATGATTAATATTTGTAAAGGCTACAGGTGATCTTAAGATGCGTGAGCTATGCTTAGGGACCTACCAGTCAATATTATTTGTGCGTAGGGGTGCATCATCTGGCTCCTGGTCATCCTCGCCATTGCCCATGCAGTGAACCATCACCTCGGGCTCGGGCTCGAACAAATAAGGACGTAATGGTCCATCGTCTGGCTCAATATTGTCACCATCGTCGCTTACTGAACCGGATTCAGATTCAGTTCCTAAAACGACATTTTCGTAGGAAAGCCGAGAGGATGTTTCTGACTCGCTATCATCACTGGATACCTCGTACAATCCTTCTTCTTTGTCTGGTATATTTGCCCTTCCACGTTCATTCTGCATAGACGCCATGGTTTGTTATCGTATCGTCTTCCTGAGTTTTCGTCACTTCCGGTTAGGCTGAGAAACATTTCGTTTCTAAAAAACTTCGGGGAAGCTGCAATAAAGTGCTTCTAACATGCGTAAGGCAATTATTATATTTTTTTAATCAGGTGTGATTGTTTTGGTACGTAATTATGCTTGTATATAAGTTAAAACGAAACTATTTGAGGTTCCATTTCCACTATCCCTTTAAGATGAGTGGAGTTTTTATTTTAATTTGATTGAGAATACAGCATTTTGCGACTGTATTTTTAATAAACAGAATGTCTCTTAGAAATTGCACTTTCCTTAATTGCCAGTGATAACGCTTAAGAATTAAGAAAAAGCTTAAGGAAAAACCATTTAGCCTTTCTTAACTAGATGAATGTTAAAATGATTTAATGGCAACAGGGACACAAGTTTCCCTTGACGATATGACAGCAGCTGCAGCAACAATACACTGCTAATGTCGGGATAATTGCTGGATAACGTGTTTATTTGAAAGGGTTGGAGAGTTTCTGTGCTACCCAGTAGTGGCCTTACTTACAGTGCTATATCATAACATATATTGTAATATGTGCAATGAGGTCGCTTTAGCTGTTATAAAACGAAAGCTACGACAACCTGAAGTTAAACAAGAAATAATTCAAGGTCATGACGAGCAGCTTATTTCCCTCTGTTGCTTCATATTTCATGCTCATTGCAGGAGCACAGATGAGTCATGCCACAGATATTAGTGTAATGTAGAGCAGATAATGCATCAGACTTAAAATAGAATTGATTGAGTAGTGAACAAAGGTCTTTAGAAAGGGTCTGTTCTTCTCTCAGAGGTCAATATCCTGCCCGTGCCTTTGTCCCGTTATCACACATCAGACGCTGCTGCGGGTGACGCAAGCTCATTTAGCCCAGAGCCATTCATTTGTGCTTTATGCGTTTGCGGATGCTTGTAATCATGCGTGTGCCTGACATCAATGCAGAGTGAAATGAATTAGACTTGGGCAAAAAAATAATATTTTTTATCTCATTGGATTTAATTGAACAAACTTTTCTTTGAATTCAAGATTACACATGAACACAAGAAACCTCATCACAGTTTCTGAGAGCAGCTTCATCCTTCTCTGCTTGCAGTTATTTCTACTTTCTTCTCTTTTAATTCAGGTGGCGAACGAGGTCATATCATCAGATAATACAAGTATAAAAGTAAAGCAGATCTAAGCTCTAAAGGACAGATACTGACCATAAGCATAATGACTGATTTCCCCTGAACTAACACTGTTTCTAAGCAGGTGTCGGTGCCACGATGTAAGAGGCTAACTCCTCTGAGGTTTGTCCTTGGAGCCTCTGAAGGCTCCCAGGGGCCCCGGGCGCTTCTTATTTCCTCTTGCCTATCCGTGCCATCAGTTCTGCATTAGCTGCCGCCTTGGTCCTCATGTCCTGGTTCTTGGCCAGGCCTATGAGGACGCTGAGGATGCTGGTGGGTACGTCGAGGGAGAGGGCGAAGCGGGACCCCTGCTGGGCTCTCTTCGGCACCTGGGAGGCCGGGCGAGGGGCTCGTTCTCGACGGAGCACCGTGTGGCGCTCTGATCGGAGCAATGAGTTCAACAACCCACTGCGGTTGAGGATGTCGACAGCCAGCACATCCCTCTGTGTGTCTTCATCGAGTTTAGCGAGAGAGGAAGTGCCGCTCCTCTGGCTCTGGACACACCACGGCAGCAGCAGAGCCAGGCAGAAACACACACTCACACTCCTCATGGTCTGCAGGGAGGGAAGAAGAACCGATCAGCTATTGGCTCACAATTACATAACTGCACCCTGCATGTGTTCTGCGGCTGATGGCATGCAGCAGGAACTGTGCAATCATTTCAACAAGAAACATCTGGAAACAGCCATTCTTTGTAGATTATATATCATATTTAACTCTCTCCATTAGAAAAGGCAGGCTGGTGGACTTATAACTGGACTTTTCTTCACTGTTCATTTAACATTTGATTAATATGCCATTCTTTGTGCACTTAATGTAAATAATATCCTGCTTTTAAATGATGTTAGCCGTCATTTGGCCCTTCAGAGTGTTTATTTGTCTACAGATCTTTCACCGTCAGCTTGTATATATTTTTTAGTTCGGTTTTATTTTCTATTTTAAGATGTTTGTTTGTTTATTATTTACTCTTTTTATTTTTCAAATGATGTGCAATGCCTTTGTTTTAACATGCTGCTGTAACAAAACTATTTCCCAATTTGGGATCAATAAAGTATATCATATCTTATCTTAGTTGGGACAGGAGGTTTTTACATGGGAATACAGAGAGTAATGCAACCATAGGATGACATTCCTAATCATTTGTAATTGTAATATCAAGCAGTACTCATGCAAGATTAAACTGTCCACAGAAAACACAGTGGACGCTGCACTAGGTCAGAAACCAGAGGAGACTGTGAGGTCCACCGCAGACGGACCACTTTTGGACAAAATGTCCTCTCCATTAAAGGCAGCTCATTCTGGAATAGCCTCCCAACTGAGACACGGGATTGTCCCACTCTCAATAGCTCTTGTATCCTCTCTTGCACTTTGTATGTCGTTGCTGCTATATTGTATTACCATGAGGTAAATACTTGTATATGCTGCTCTTGCTCTTTTGCGCCTTTTGCATATCATGTATTTTGTTTTTGCTATGTTTGTAAAATGTAAACTTCTTAAATGTTTTATGTGAGGGATGGAAATGAGCTCAAAGCTAAATCTGGCACTATTACGCTTGACACATTTTAATGTTTTACGTGTTCATCACTGTGGATCCGCCAAATAAACGATTAAATAAATAAAATTGTCCATGCGGGAAAAAAAAAAGATTACTGATATACCCATTTAGCAATACATAGCATATTTGAAATCTTCAAAAAGGTATTAAAAGCAACATTTTCTGTATACATTTAAAGTTTCTCAGAACTACTTTTGCTTTAAGTTATCAATATTTTTTATATCTTTCTACTAAATCAGCCAATGTTCTGAAATATGGATAAACATTAGAAAGCATCAAGTGTCATAATCCCATACTTACTCAGTGTCACCTGCGTGAAAAGTTGGTATCTTGTCAAAAAAGGCACTTCTCCTTCCTCTGGTCTAAAGTAAGGCTTCTGTAATGATCTGTTGTCTGCTCCTCAGATATCCTATCTTCTCCCCTCCAGCTGCTTCTTCTTCTTCTTCTTCTTCTTCTTCTTCAGCGACAGGAGGATGTGCCACGGAGTCAGATGTTCAACTGGACTTCTGCCCGCTCGTCCACGACTTGGTCTTTATCTACGTCTGTCTTCTCCGTGACACTGCCCCTTTCCTTCATTTGTATCTCTTACATCTCAACACCCCGTCACCCTCCCCTCATTTCATCTCATTTCCTCTGCACTCATTGCAATCTTTCTTTTTCTAAAAATAACATGATGGTAATCACAATAGCTTGCCTTGAATGAATTGGATAGTTGCCCCAGTCTGCAGTCAAAGCACAAGTGAAACCCACCGTCTCGGTTCAAAGTTAAGTACCAACGCTGCAAAAACACCTATCCCTTTCTTATCGTGGTGATATGAGTCATTGTCACTGATATAACTAATTTTTTATCCCATTACAAATTTAAAAATCTTTGTAGTTCCTATTGTGTTTGTGACATTTCTAATCCTTTCTTGTTTCAAGATTCTGTCTTGATAGAAAATGCTCAGTAATTGTAATGAACATTCAGATGTATTTCATAAGTATCTCTGTCAGGTTGTGTTTTTTCTGATATGGAAAGTGAATGATAGTTACGAAGATCTATTGTTTACAAAGCCAAACATCACATATTATTCCAATTACACCTGATATCCTGCAGCAGCTGGACCTTTACCCACCTGTAACCTGTTCAATCAAACATGTTCTGATGAATTAGTGAGACTACAGAAACATCTCCTGCACCTTAAATCAGTTATTAAGTGGTGAAGATTTTTCTACGTCACAAACTTAGTCCACAAAAAATAGTTCTGCATGAAAGAGCAGGCCCCCAAATTCAATGATTCAATTCTACAGGGAGCATTAAGTGGTAAATGTGGTGTCATCAATTAGGTAAGGAAGGCAATTGCATTTCCTAACATTTGATTTATGTGTTTCATAATAGTTAATAATGAAAGGAAATGCAAATCTGCTCCTTTGGATCCAATTTTAAAATTATAGGCTGGATTAAAGATGCAAAAATCAGTATCAGTTCTTTGTACTGATTTTGTGTTACGACAGCCCCGTTATATATACATGTGTGTCCTTGTGTGGCACCTTAAATAATACGGAAATGTTCAATCAAAAATGCTGAACACTGCGCATTGTTGCTACTTAAAGGAACATCATGTATGAGTACACAAAGGTCTATTTCAAGCCCACAGAAGAGGAAGGGGGGGTAAGATGGGAGCAGTGGAGCTCTCTGGAGAAGGAGCAGGAAGAGGCTGTCAGGCCAAGGAGGGACTCCGACAAGACAAAGGTTTCCTGGGTCACCTCTTGTCCGGACATCAAGGGACTAATCCTCATTCGACTAATGATGGAAATATTACAAGTGCAGCCTGATTACGATAGCTGGGCCCTCAGGGGCCTTCAGGATTACAAACCGTCTCAGTTACCCTCAAATAAACAAACATGGGTCACACAAATGTCAGCCAGCAGCACACATAATCATATATATACATGTTGTATTGCATTGTTGTCACAGATACTGGGTGACGCAGTATGTACACTCACAATAAGATTATGTCATCTCTATGCTTCAAGATCAAACATATATAGCAATGTATACTCTATATCAGTGGTTCTCAACTGGTCAGGCCTCGGGACCCACTTTTTCCTTTGTCAATAAATCACGACCCGAAATTTTGAACCACTCAAATCTATTCAACAAAAAATCGTGCTGTAATATATAAGCTTTTCAGCATACAATATTAATTAAAGTGAAGTACAGTGCATATATCCCTTATATCCCTTCACAGAACAAAAGTATTCTTTTAAAAAAGGTTTAATGAGATGATGAAATCAAAGCTGAACTGTATAACATAAAAAGGCACACATGCTGAAAACCCAACCCCAGAAGGGGGGTCTAGGGGGATTCTTAGATCAACGGACAGTATACGCATTCTGGTACACTCTGAGAATAAAATAAATAAATCTATTACAACCCGACATAATAATATTGTGTGCTATTGTTTGTGTTTCACTTTGTTCTGACAGCTACACTTGCTGCTCCTCACAGAGAGAAGAGTACAGAGGAGATAGTCTGTGTGAATTACTTTAAATTGTGGGTAAGGGTAGATAGCCCCCATTGTTCTGTGACCTGTCAATCATCAAACCGGGGGTCATATTTCATTATGTGTTCATTTTTATCTGAAGTTGTACCCATGGTTGTATAAAGAGTAGTTCTACCGCAAAGTTATTCTCCGTGGGGACAGGGACTTCCGGCAACAATCTTGACAGAAGTTTTCCAAACCGTTGATGGTCTCCGGTACTTCCAGTCCAACGCCGACTGCATGCACAGCGTTAGAAAATCGGTCCTTCAAAATAAAAGTTTGAGTTTTTTCCAAAAAAAAAAAATTCTTCACTCGCACATCTGCGACCCACTCGAAACGGGTCCGCGACCAATCCTGCGGTTTTTTGGCAAACCGAGTACCAGAAAATATACATTAAAAAAAACAAAAAACCTTTTCATTGTTAGGGGGGCCACAGGTCAGTGTTAGGGGGGCACTGCCCCCCCCCCCCCCCCACTAGAACCGCCCCTGGAGGTCAATCTAAGACGCAGGGATGCTTGTTAATGTGGTTCATGTTTCCTCATCTGAAGACGTGCCGTTTCAGAACAGTATTTTTTGTTAGATGGTTAAATTGACCTAAAATCTTTAGGTTTTTGTCATCCTTTCATTGTTCCCATATTCTGTCTGTTGATTATATACCTGGTTAATCAGTTGAGTTTAGTATTCATGACTTTGTCAACATCTGACAACAGTAATACACTAACACTCATTACCTAACACTAATTCAGACATTAGTTCTGAATACACACATGCATTTTTGTTAGGGAGACCTGTCAGAGTGAAGAGGCTGCAAGGTTTTCTGGCACCAGGGAGCAAAGCCTATCCAGTCCGGGAGCAGAACCACTAACCCTTCAGTTTCATGCATAGTACCTATAGATTGATCTACTGCCTATTTATCAACCCCGTCTATATTCAATTCAAATTATCAATATTTAACATGTACATTCTCCACAGTCGATTGTCTGTTCTCCCCTCCTCCTCTCCTCTCCAAGTGGCATAATTGGTACACAAATGTATTTTTAAGAGTGACATATTTCTTTGAGCAATAACCAGAACATATTGCTGTTGACTTACACACAACAGCGTGCTTTGTAAACGTGTGTATAGAATAGATGCAAGTTAAATGTAATGCAAACCTGTATATTTCTGTACACATGAGACAAACCACAGGTAAATCTTTTACAGTATTTTTATTTTGTCAGAATGACAGCTTCTGTTATGTACAATAGAGGACAGAAACAAATGTTACAGAAATTATAAATATACTCTTGCTCCAGACTTGCTGTGTTCAGGTCGTGTCCAGTGAAGTATTTCCTATTCAAGTCTGCTCTCTCTCTCCGCTCTGCAAGTCAGTACCAGGTAATGAGGAACTGGACAATCAAGAGGTAACGGATGTGTGATTTCAATACTCGCATGCTGCCCTCCTAACTAAGAGTGATCAGTGGGCGGGATAAGAGAGAGGATGATGTGCTGTTGAGCCAACGAGTGGACAACCCTCAAGTGAAGTCTCTCTCGCAGTGATGGCGGAGCGAAGCGGGTTGAAGACGAAGATGAGGAGCAAACGTGGGACACTCTGAGCAACACAACAATGCTTTTTAAAACCTCAGCCAGTACATGGCACTGCGCACTCTGTTGTAGTCGGGAAGCTGCTCGCAGGGACCTGATGGAGAGAGGCAGGAGGGAGAGGTTAGAGAACGATAACACAGCCTGGGCTCTGACTTTGATACAAAATGACTAAAACCACAGAGAACTCACCGACAGCTACCACAGCGGGACACTTATCGTAGATGTATTTGCTGCAGACGTCACGCACCATCCGGGGGGTCACGGCCTGAAAGAAGAACAGTGGAGGAAGTCAGATCTCTTATCCTATAGATGGACTAGAAGCCACTTTGGAAAAGGCGCTGCTTCATGCAATCGTCTTTATTTCCTTCCAATTTGGGACTCACGTCGATGCGAGCGTCCCACTCTGCCAGAGGAACACGGCGTCCGTAGTTCAGGACGTGTCTGCCGATGTCGTCACAAATTGGTGTTGTTCCTAAAAGACAAAAGGGTGTGATTATTCATTCATTCATCTCATAGTAAAAAATTAAAATAACAAATACACGTTGAGCAGGTTGTAAAGCCCATGATGGAAAAGAGCAAGGCGAAGTCTTATTTCGCCTGCCCATTATGACTCAAAATAAATGCTGTACTTGAGGATTTGTATTATGAAAAAGTGAATGTGTGTTGACCCAGACTTCACCACTGTAATTTAAATATGGCAAACCAATGAACAATACAGAATTCGCATTGACCTTGAGTACAGCACGTACTGCTTTGTTTAAAAACATTTTCTTAATATACTTTTTTTTAGATTTGCTTTATGAGCTATCCGTGTTAATGCATCATACATTATAACTAGGGCCGGGACTTTAACGCATTAATTAAGATTAATTAATTACACAAAAATTAACGCATTTTAATCGCACTTATTTTTGCACCGCGGAACGTTTCTCACTGGATGAGTTTCAGGCGTACCGATTATACTGGAGCACCAACTAACGTTCATGACTTCAGACAACAACAAACCACAGTGAACAACAGTGGGAAATGTTGTTTTAAAAAACGGACGGATGGAAGCGTCGATAAGAGCACGGTTGTGTGCAAATTATGCAAAAAGGAATTCGCATATCACCGCAGCACATCAAGCCTCAAGTATCACCTCAATGCAAAACATATAGCAGCTAGCGTGGAAGCTAGCGTGGACGTTAGCCTCTTTTATCGCGTTCACACCAAAAAGAGCCGGTACTAAAATTAGTTCATGAGAACCTTTTTACCCCCACGAAAGTCCCTGCTAGAGAGCAGAGAGCTGCTAGAGAGCAGGGACTTTCGTGCGGCTCTCTTGTGAG